TATACAGATTTGTCAGAATAAAATTTACATTTTTGGAAAAAAATTAACATTTTTGACTTTACTGGTTAAATTATAGTAGCTAAGTAGTTGGTAACTACTCAGTTGTAGCTGACATTACCACCCTTAGCATGGAGTTAACACTTTGTTTACTGTAGCATATAGCGTGGTATAGCGCAGTCCAGTGCATTATAATAAATAGTGGCACAATTTGAACGACTTCAGGGGTCACCAGCTTGTGGGTGAAAAAGAAAATATCTCACAATAAATTTTCAAATTTGTCTCTGTTGTTAGTTTGTACCTGATAACTGAGAATCATGGTACTTCTATCATCTTCCTCAAGCCTCTCCCGTGTGTTTATGAGTCTCACTAACGTTCATTTTCCCTCTTCTCATTGTCGCTGATGTCCTCCCAGGTACCTCGTAATTCGCAGCGATGAACAACAGCCCTCCGATCCATCAGCGTCCATGTGCACCATCCTCTTACATGCTGGCCACTCGATTTCTCTGCCTCGCCATCTCTAAGTGACTGTTGCACTCTGCCTCAGCCAACCCCTCTCATCGGAACACTTTTGTCCTTGTCATACCTTAAAGTTTCATCTGAAAATGTCTTGTTAGAGGGGAGAATATAGCTCAGTGGTAAACTGCATGCTTAGCATGCACGAGGTTCTGGGTTCAACCTCAGCACCTCCATTAAATCAATCAATCAATCAATCAATCAAATTACTTCCCCCTAGAAGGCACTCGCCCCAGAAAATGTCTTAGTAAAACTTCCTGACCTCTACAAACACCCTTACATTTCTAGTTTGCTCATTTGTCTTCTTCCAACATGAAAATGCTTTTATCTTATTGGTATCTCCAGTCCTGTCTTCAGTCTAACCCATCAAACTGCGTCTTCCTTCACTTTTCTTCATGTCCACCTTGATTCCGTAATGTTTCACTTCTGCCAAAACACTAACTCCCTTGAAATTTTTTTTTGTCTCACTTGTTCAACAAAATCATTTTGCTGTGTTTGGTATTAATTATCTGTTTCTCCCTGTCAATATCTGAGAAGCCAAGTGTGTTTACAACAGATCAGATTTGCTGGTTTTAAATTCATTGTCTCTACTCTGAAAATGCTTTAATGCTGCTAGGAGTCCTGGTACTCGTTTCAGAGCACTATTCTCTCACATTGGCTGAAACTAATTTTCTCACTCTTTCTCCATACTTAACAAATCTCTGACTCTTCCACATCCCCTCTTCTTCTCAGAAGATGACCTACATTACAGGAAAATAAAAGCTGCCAGATTATCAGACTGAAGATCTCCCAGCTTTCTCCCTATATATGCAAGCGTCTTATCTGCTCAGCTGTTCAGCGGAAGTGCTTTTCTTCCTCTTCAATAAGGCCAAGTACAACTCTATTTGAAGCTACCCACCCCTGCCGCCCAAGAACCGGACACTATTCAACCCGCCTCTTTCCTTCAGAATATTCAATGTTCTTTCCGGAGTATCCTTCCCACCAGCTCTCAAGGCCTGATGAATGAATGAACTTCAGGAGAGGAAACAGGAGAGAGGGGAGGGAAAGTCGAGGACAACCCTGGCACTTACTTGGGAACTGAGTTGGCACTGGAGGTAGAGAGTAGTTAACAGGCGGACATGTTTAGTCTGAGGTGCCCATCCTGAGAATTTGGGAATTCATCCTCCTCAAACATGGAGTTTAAAATACCGAAGAACAGATTTCACATGACTAGAGCAGGCCCACCCTGCCATGTAGAAAACAAGTAAGTGGGGGCAGCCTCTGACAAAAGCTTTGATTTTGTTCTTGAATCTCTAGATAAAGATTTGAAAATCTTTTTGACTCCAGGTTAGCATCTTTTCTGTTCAGAAGATCTGCTTTTGAAAATGGAAGACAAACCTGTGTTTCTTCTTGTTTCCTGAGTCTGCCTCGAAACAAAATAAAGGCTCTAAGTTAGAATCTTTGCTAAATACATTAGTATAAATTAAGCTAATTAAATATATCAGTGCTCACATTATTTTCATATACAATTGGCCCTCTGCATCTGCAGGTTCCACATCCATAAATTCAACCAGCCACAGATAGAAAATATTTGAGAAAAAATTCCAGAAGGTTCCAATAAGCAAAACTTGAATATGCTGCAGTGCACACTGGCAAATATTTACACAATGTGTACATTGCATTTTAAGCTATTTGCATAGCATTTATAGTGTATCAGGTATCAGAAGTAATCTAGAGATGATTTAAAGCATAGGGGGTATGTGCAGAGATTACAGGAAAATATGATATCATTTTATATAAGGGAGTTGTGCATCCACAGGTTTTGGCATCCATGGGGGGTCCTAGAACCAATCTCCCATGGATACTGAGGGACAACTATGTACCCTAATTTAAATCTTGCTAAAATCCCTGAAATACTTCTTGGAAAAAAAAAACAGCAAACAGAAAATTTCAGCAAAAGCTACTTGAAATCTGTGCATTTAGATTAATATAATATGTATTTTTAGTTCTACAAATACTGTCCTGAAACAAAACATATTCCAATAGTTAAGATTTTCTTTTTCAAATAAACATCACCAAGTAAATGTATTTCTCAGTAATAAGTCTACATCCTATTGACATCAATACAGCTCAAACTGGACATATTTCAAGGAATTAAATCTCCCAATTACTAGATTCTAATGTAATAATTCAAAGGTATGCAAAAATCTATTCATTTATGAGCGACTAGGATGTTTTGCAATTTTATTCTGAACTTATAATGGCATATTCTATTCTTTTATATTTTTGCACTTTTTTTCATTAGTCCTTTAAAATTCTAGACTTTCCCCAAACTTCCCAAGTTCACATGCACCTAAGAATTGAAATACCAATCTTCACAATCTTGGGTCACAGGATTTTTCTAGAATTTAGCTAGATTTTTAAACTACATATTTTTTTTTAACAACTTTGCCAGCCAGAATTTTCAGGAATTTAGACTTCTATTTTTTCTTTCTTTCTCAAAGAATCTGTAGCTCATTTTGTAACACTCACTTATGTTAAGCTAAAGGAATTTTTGACAAATCTACTTCCTAAAAACAGAAAGCAAAACAATAGAGCTAAACATTAAACATAGAATTAAATACAAATATTCAGTAAAGTAGCATATATATGTGTATATATTAATCTCCCATAAACTGTATCCTTATGTATAGAAATTTCAAGTTTATAAAGTATGCTTCTTTGGTTCCTTAAATGAAATGTTAATTTAGACAAGTTATTTTTAAAACACATCACCTTCAACCAGAAAAAACAAAAGGGAGGAGGGGGATAACCATAATGTGAGTACCAGCTGACCTTGCATGTTTAATTAAACAATCAAAT